AATGTGCGTGGATGTTGTGCAAATGATAAGAAAGAGATGATTGTGGATGTTATGAATGAGAAGAAACTGGATGTCCTGGCTTTAAGTGAAACAAAGCTGAAGGGGGTGGGAGAGTTTCAATGGAGAGGAATAAATGGGATTAGGTCAGGGGTTTCAAATAGTTAGAGCTAAAGAAGGAGTAGCAGTAATGTTGAAGGATAAGCTATGGCAGGAAAAGAGGGACTACAAATGTATAAATTCAAGGATTATGTGGAGTAAAATAAAGATTGGATGTGAAAAGTGGGTTATAGTAAGCGTGTATGCACCTGGAGAAGAGAGAAGTGTAGAGGAGAGAGATTCTGGGAAATGTTGAGTGAATGCGTGGGGAGTTTTGAATCAAGTGTGAGAGAAATGGTGGTTGGAGATTTCAATGCTAAAGTGGGTAAAAATGTTATGGAGGGAGTAGTAGGTAAATTTGGGGTGCCAGGGGTAAATGTAAAGGGGAGCCTTTTAATTGAGCTATGTGTAGAAAGAAATTTGGTAATAAGTAATACATATTTTATGAAAGAGGATAAATAAATATACAAGGTATGATGTAGCACGTAATGAAAGTAGTTTGTTAGATTATGTATTGGTGGATAGAAGGTTGATGGGTAGGCTCCAGGATGTACATGTTTATAGAGGGGCAACTGATATATCGGATCATTATTTAGTTGTAGCTACAGTTAGAGTAAGAGGTAGATGGGAAAAGAGGAAGGTGGCAACAACAAGTAAGAGGGAGGTGAAAGTGTATAAACTAAGGGAGGAGGAAGTTCGGGCGAGATATAAGCGACTATTGGCAGAAAGGTGGGCTAGTGCAAAGATGAGTAGTGGGGGGTTGAAGAGGGTTGGAATAGTTTTAAAAATGCAGTATTAGAATGTGGGGCAGAAGTTTGTGGTTATAGGAGGGTGGGGGCAGGAGGAAAGAGGAGTGATTGGTGGAATGATGAAGTAAAGGGTGTGATAAAAGAGAAAAAGGTAGCTTATGAGAGGTTTTTACAAAGCTGAAGTGTTATAAGAAGAGCAGAGTATATGGACAGTAAAAGAAAGGTGAAGAGAGTGGTGAGAGAGTGCAAAAGGAGAGCAGATGAAAGAGTGGGAGAGGCACTGTCAAGAAATTTTAATGAAAATAAGAAAAAATTTTGGAGTGAGTTAAACAAGTTAAGAAAGCCTAGGGAAAGTATGGATTTGTCAGTTAAAAACAGAGTAGGGGAGTTAGTAGATGGGGAGAGGGAGGTATTAGGTAGATGGCGAGAATATTTTGAGGAACTTTTAAATGTTGAAGAAAGGGAGGCGGTAATTTCATGCACTGGCCAGGGAGGTATACCATCTTTTAGGAGTGAAGAAGAGCAGAATGTAAGTGTGGTGGAGGTATGTGAGGCATTAATAGAATGAAAGGGGGGAAAGCAGCTGGAACTGATGGGGTCATGGCAGAAATGTTAAAAGCAGGGGGGGATATAGTGTTGGAGTGGTTGGTACTTTTGTTTAATAAATGTATGAAAGAGGAGAAGGTACCTAGGGATTGGCAGAGAGCATGTATAGTCCCTTTATATAAAGGGAAAGGGGACAAAAGAGATTGTAAAAATTATAGAGGAATAAGTTTACTGAGTATACCAGGAAAAGTATACGGTAGGGTTATAATTGAAAGAATTAGAGAGTAAGACAGAATGTAGGATTGCAGATGAGCAGGGAGGCTTCAGAGTGGGTAGGGGATGTGTAGATCAAGTGTTTACATTGAAGCATATATGTGAACAGTATTTAGATAAGGTAGGGAAGTTTTTATTGCATTTATGGATTTAGAAAAGGCATATGATAAAGTGGATAGAGGAGCAATGTGGCAGATGTTGCAAGTATATGGGATAGGTGGTAAGTTACTAAAAGCTGTGAAGAGCTTTTATGAGGATAGTGAGGCTCAGGTTAGGGTGTGTAGAAGAGAGGGAGAATACTTCCCGGTAAAAGTAGGTCTTAGACAGGGATGTGTAATGTCACCATGGTTGTTTAATATATTTATAGATGGGGTTGTAAAAGAAGTAAATGCTAGGGTGTTTGGGAGAGGGGTGGGATTAAATTATGGGGAATCAAATTCAAAATGGGAATTGACAGTTACTTTTTGCTGATGATACTGTGCTTATGGGAGATTCTAAAGAAAAATTGCAAAGGTTAGTGATGAGTTTGGAAGTGTGTGTAAAGGTAGAAAGTGAAAGTGAACATAGAAAAGAGTAAGGTGATGAGGGTATCAAATGATTTAGATAAAGAAAAATTGGATATCAAATTGGGGAGGAGGAGTATGGAAGAAGTGAATGTTTTCAGATACTTGGGAGTTGACGTGTCGGCGGATGGATTTATGAAGGATGAGGTTAATCATAGAAATTGATGAGGGGAAAAAAGGTGAGTGGTGCGTTGAGGTATATGTGGAGTCAAAAACGTTATCTATCGAGGTAAAGAAGGGAATGTATGAAAGTATAGTAGTACCAACACTCTTATATGGATGTGAAGCTTGGGTAGTAAATGCAGCAGCGAGGAGACGGTTGGAGGCAGTGGAGATGTCCTGTCTAAGGGCAATGTGTAGTGTAAATATATGCAGAAAATTCGGAGTGTGGAAATTAGGAGAAGGTGTGGAGTTAATAAAAGCATTAGTTAGAGGGCAGAAGAGGGGTTGTTGAGGTGGTTTGGTCATTTAGAGAGAATGGATCAAAATAGAATGACATGGAAAGCATATAAATCTATAGAGGAAGGAAGGAGGGGTAGGGGTCATCCTCGAAAGGGTTGGAAAGAGGGGGTAAAGGAGGTTTTGTGGGCGAGGGGCTTGGACTTCCAGCAAGCGTGCATGAGCGTGTTAGATAGGAGTGAATGGAGACGAATGATACTTGTAACCTGACGATCTGTTGGAGTGTGAGCAGGGAAAATATTAGTGAAGGGATTCAGGGAAACCGGTTATTTTCATATAGTTGGACTTGAGCCCTGGAAATGGGAAGTACAATGCCTGCACTTTAAAGGAGGGGTTTGGGATATTGGCAGTTTGGAGGATATGTTGTGTATCTTTATATGTATATGCTTCTAAACTTTTTGTATTCTGAGCACCTCTGCAAAAGCAGTGATAATGTGTGAGTGTGGTGAAAGTGTTGAATGATGATGAAAGTATTTTCTTTTTGGGGATTTTCTTTCTTTTTGGGGTCACCCTGCCCTCGGTGGGAGACGGCCGACTTGTTGAAAAAAAAAAAAAAAATAAAACATTTTCATTAATCCATCTTTATTTTCTTCAAAATCGTATTATAAGAAAAACATTACAGTACATAGCATATGAACAAGCAGTGTTTATATGCTATCGAGGGGTGGGGTCAGGTGGAGGGTAAACATTACGTTTTCCCTGGTCCAGCTTCAGAGAAAGCGTGTATGACTCTGTGTTGGTCCAGTAATTGCTCTTAATAGTACATGAGGCTTTTGTTTGCAATTCTCGGCATGAATTATTCATTACTTCTCCCTTTGTTTATGATGGCATCTAAAGGTAGTTGTTAGAAACAATTAAACTTGGTGAACATGGTATGTCGATGGTAATAATATGGCTGTAGGCCGCAGTGTATGTTGCCGGTAGGTATACGCCTGGGATGTAGTCCCTCTGGGACTACAAATAAATACTGCTCATCAACAAGTCTTCAATATGTAAAGGTATGTAATGTTCATTTATCATTAAAATTAGTCATTTATAATTATTTCTCATTGTTTTCTGTATGTAAAACTATAGTTACTCTCTATAAAATGAATTGTTTTTGTTGATATTTTTGGGTGTCTGGAACGGATTAATTGGATTTACATTATTTCTTATGGGAAATATTACTTTGGTTTTCGGCCAATTCAGATTTAGGCCAGCCTTCTGGAATGGATTAATTATAAAACCAGGGGTTTACTGTATCTTGCAAAATCTGTAACCAGTCCTACATAGGAAAATGGGTAGAAATCTAATCATTAGTATAAGTGAATGGCTGTTGTAGTGTTTACTTGAACCCTTTCTGTATGATCAACCCAGTGGGGGTGGGTTTTCTTAACTTTGAGAGATTTGCCAAGAGCAACACTGCTGCTAGCTGTGTTGGTTCAGGTTATTAAAACAGCTGAGAAAGGTTGAAAATCCTGTTAATTTGCACAAAACAGCAGTCTGTGCGAGTATTCAAATTGATTTTCTGTTTTTATGCTTGTGGGTAAATGATTCAAATTTGAAATGAAAACGAGTGTGCAGATCAGAAAGATTAGTTAATGATTAGGTAGCCTAAGCCTACCAAGTTTGTTTTTGTGTGTGTGTATGTTGTTTTCTTGTATGTTTTGTGTGTTTGATTCATAGTTTAATTGTTGGTAGAATTAATGAGAATGTGTGGCCCTTAAGTATCAGTTTTTGATTTGTTTTTAATCAGATATTTTCATGGAAATTTCATGAATAGGTGAATAAACTAGGAAAGTAAAAGGAAACAAAGTATGCATTTTCTTTGTCAATGTTAGGTTTGCCTGTAAACTAGATTTGAAGATGAAATTAGTGGAGGCAGAGTTTAGACAATAAATTCACTGAAGATATTTTGATGAAGAGATTAGGGTGCCCTAGGCTAGATCCAGTAGGGAAACACTCACAGCTTGCTAAAATTAATCTGATGTACTGTATATTGGTACATGCATTTATTACAACTGAATGATGTCAACTTGTTCATGTAGTATTTTGAAAATGCCTTTTATTAGTGTAATATCTTGGGCTACAAATGCTTTTTAACCCTTTTCTCTTGTCCCAAAAGCTATTTGTATTAATGCTTGCATGATTCAATCTTGAAATATATCTTTGCTTGGCATTTGCTTGCTTATTTGCTAAAAAATATAATTTAATATAGACATCTTCATTACCTAATGACTATTTTCCATTTGCTGCTTGCTCTCTTCTTTTTATTTTCTTATTTGGCTTTGTCTTGTAGCTTATGCATGCTCTAGCTAATAGTGGTCCCCTTCAGGCACAGTTGTAAGTGTTGGAGCCGCAGAATGTACAGCCATGGAGGGAAGATAGAGCAGCTGATTGATTGCTGCCGAGAATCGAAGTGGCTCAATGATCTTGAAGCTGTGGCTTGTGGGCTGGATGAAGTAGCCACGCTCCATCTCTCCCTACCCCCTGCTCTCTCTCTCCGACCAATCTCTCCCACCCCAATAGTTCCTCCTGTCCCTGCCTACCTGCCATTTACCCTGTATCAGGAAGAAACACCTAAGCCAGATAAGGTGGCTCACAGCTTTCCCACATTCTATCCTACTCCTTCACCATCTCTAGGTCCCAGACCACTAATTGGTTATCATTGTTCAATGTGCAATGAACTTGTTGATAAAAGAGCATTTATCCAGCATATGAAGGACCATGCCAAAAATAAAGTGCCTACTAAACATTATTGTTCTCTGTGTGATAAGTATTACTCATCTTGTAATAATTTAGGCAAGCATTTCAAGAAGCTACATCCAGATAAAATGGTTCCTAAATCAGTAGAGCCTCGGTTGGAACTTTCGGAGCTTCCTCAGCCCTCTCCCTTGAGTGATTATGGAACTCTTAGCCCAGCATCTCTATCAGAGCCTGAGTCTCCCTCCTCACCATCCACTCTTCTTTCGCCTTCAGACTCTGAGTCTAGTAATGCTAGGATCCCCTCTCTGCACACTGATTTCTCAGCATTAGCAGGAAATACTTTAGTTGCCAAACAGAATAATCTCAAAAAGAAAGGCATTTTACAGAAAGGAAATATTAGTGCGCACTCAAAATTTGAAGCTATAGATCCAGAAATGCTTGCTCTAGCAGAGTCATGCATACAACCCTCTTTTAGTGGGTCAGTGATCACAGCATCCTGTGATCCAGAACTTGGTACATGCGTATCTATTGTAGATGACAGAGTCCATGGAGACACAAACTTCAGTTCGGAAAACCACACTGTTCATTTAACAGTACCATGTAATAAAGTATTAGGTAAAGATTTTGTTTGTTTAATCCCATCCCATAGTAAGAAAGTAGACCCAGCAGCTGTGCTGTGTCCTTTAAACCATCCATACAATGAGACTGTAAACCCAGATGAACATTCATTTTGTTCAACTCCACCACATAGGACAAGGTCAGATCATATACTTTGCTTAACCCCACTGCATAACAAAGCAGTACATGAAGATCAGTTAGCTCAATTAACCCCATTGTGCAGACAGCTTACAAGCTCAGAAGATCATTTGCTCTGTATAACCCCATCTCATAGCAAACTTGCAAACTCTGATAATTTAGTTAATGTAACCCCACTACAGAGCAAAACTATTGATTTGTCTGCAACTTGTGAAGAGTATAGTTATCAAGAACCACTTGATTTGAGTTGTTCGAGTTTTCCCATAAATGCTATGGAGGATATTGAAGGTGACATAATTGAGCCTTATGATGAGATTGATAAAGAATGTTTTTTAATTCATTCAGAAGCAAATAAGATGGAAAAAAATTCTGAGACTGATAAAGCAGTAGTGGCTAGTAAACAGTATAATTTTGCTTCAAAACAGTCCTTACAAAGTGTTAGTGATGCAGTAATAGAAATTAAAGAGTTACCAAATAAGAAAATGAGAATTGAGTCTGTGAATATTAAAGAAAATATTTTGCAAGATACGGAAATAACCAAAAAATCTTTAAATAAACTAGAAAATGATTGGAAGGTACCATCACTAATAGAAATTTATAGAGATCTACTTTTTGAAGTAAATGAAGAATATTTTGGTGTTAAAAATGAATTATCCTGTAGGAAAGTAACTTGTGATGGAGTCATGTGTGAAACACATGAGCATTATACTTACACAACACTTGCCACCCCTCCAAATGATAAAAGTGACTGGGACAAATATTTTGACCACGAGTGTGATGGACAGGTTTGTGCTCTTTGTGGAATGTTTTGGAAATACCTAAAATCAAGACATTATGAAGATGAAACCGACACTGATTCTGTTGATATGGACTTAGCATCTGTGTGTTCCTCAAACACAGATACAGCTACAGAAAATGAAATGATTCATCTTTCTGATGGTGAAATGGAAGAGCAGAATAATTATGTTTCTCACTATGATGCTGCAAATTTTAACAATACTCCCCAAGAATTTCATTGTGCATCACCTGGTGTGACACGCTTCAGATTTTGTAAGCAAATGCCACAAACATTTCACTATCAACCAAAGTCTTTTCCTTTAAAGAGAAAGAAATCCATGCTTCATAAAAAGAGGAAGATACATACTAGAGTTTCCTTAAAGGACAGAAATCAAGATAAAGCAACAGAATTGTGTTTAGGGTCAGAGGTCTGTATAGGTTGTGCTGAAATAAATCCCCTTACATTTTGGCCTGGCTGTTGGCCTATGATGGTAATGCCACAACATTTTGGCCAGTTTATGAATCCTGAATCTAAAAAGTTTTTTAAAATTGACAAGGCATCATTTCCTTCCTGGTAGGTAGTAATGGACCGAATTGTTAATCATCTGAATATAACTGGGTGCAAGACAAAGGTACAAAATTGGAAATGCTGATAAAGCATAAAAACCTCATAAATGGCCAGATTTTCAAAGATTGACATACGCAAGTGATATCTGAGATTCATTATAGAGGTTATCCACTTTGAAATTTGTTTTCAAATATTGTAAGTGTGTTTTTGTTGCTCAAATTTTCATATCCTGTCTAGCCTTCCATTTTATACATTTGTGATTTTTAGACAAAATTTGTATCAACTTGATGAACAAAAATATTTAGTTATATGAAAGAATGATGTAACTTTAATTCTTTTCTTAATTAATGTTGTGTCCAGTTGCAATATTAGTGATCTGGGAACTCATGAAAGATGGACAAATTATTGATCATTCTCTTCCTTACCTTCTCTTTGTAAACTCAAAATTTCAGTGGAGCTTCTAAACTTTTTTTTTTTTCTATCCTACAACTGTACTAACACTAAATTATTATTTTTTAAGTTTCTTCATTTCTTGTCAATCTTTTGTTCACATTTGTGATTTGTTTTTACAAAAGTGCCTTATTTAGCCCTTTATTTCTTCATTGGTCTTGTAGCATATTATATATATAAATATATATTCAGCAAATCAATCCATTGCTCATTCCAATTTTGATTTTTCTTGAATCCCTTACATATTTAAGTGCCCCTATCTGGCATTAAGGTGTACCTAGGTTTCAATGGTTTCATTCCCCTTCCTCCTCCCTCATGTGTTCATCAAACATTGATCACTTCAGTTGAGCCCAAGTTCCCTCCATGGCTGATATGAGGCATACTCTTTGCCACATTAATCCTAAACTGATGTAGCTTCTTGAGTGCCATCTAGCTCACATGTATTGCTGATCTGACTTTTGGATTTGAGTACAGTATTCAGTTACTGCTATTAATTGCTGTTATTATTTATTTTTATTTGTATAGTTAATATTACATTTAGGAGTGTGTTTATTTTTATGTGTGTGTGTGTGTGTGTGTGTGTGTGTGTGTGTGTGTGTGTGTGTGTGTGTGTGTGTGTATGTGTATGTGTATGTATGTGTGTTGTATTAGCTGCAAGACTGCAGGATCACTTGCTGCAGTTTGGTTATTTTTAAGTATGAAGCTTATTCCTGTGTTACTTCATACATTTCTTTGAACTCTTGAGTTGTGAAGTCTCTGTTGACATGGTTGCAGAATTTACAGTATTGTATTTTTTTTCCGCTTTATATTACTTTTGAAAATCATGTATACCTGCATTTTTTATTCAACATTGATTTAAAAGTTAAACATGATTTGTGTTCATTCAACACTGATGTTACTACATTCATAATGTGTATTATTTTTGCTTTTATATTGAATTGCAAAGAAGTGCTGTGTTCTTGATATCTTCAGTGGCATCTTATGTTAATGGTGTCATCCTCATTTTGACACTAATTAGTCTGTGATAATAAATTTTAAGCCCTTGGTTATTCTTACTAAAGTTGACCTTTCCTTTAGTATTCCTAGTATTAAAAAGTTTTTTTTATATTTATTATTTAAGGTTCCTAGAGGTATATTTAATTTTACAAAATAGATAACATCCATTCAATTGCTGAAATATATTGTAATTATTTGGATTTATTGTTTTTTTTTGACGGTAATTTGCAAATTTGTTTGTGCACTCTGTAAGTTATTTTGTTAGTTTGCTGATCAAGTTAAAACAAGCCTGATTCTTCACTGGCCTAACTGAAAGACCAGCCAAGGAGTTTATAGAAAGTATTGTATTTACGCTTGCATTTATCATTAGTACCTGGTCGTGTATACTGCAATTAAATGCTAATGATTGAAAATGGCATTTAGTTAGTGTACCTTGTCTCTTGTACAAATGGCATTGAGTAACAGTACTTTGTGTCTTGTACTATGATTCAATACTAATGATGCAGCTAGTGAATAGCTGTAATACCTGGCCTTCTTTACTGTGATTTATTGTTATTAATGCTCTTCACAATCTTCCAGAGCTGTCTTGTTACTAAAAAAATTATAATAGTTTTTTTTTATATATAATTAGCCTTCCTAGCTTGTCATAACTTTTATCATACCGAATTTTTGCCTTTGGTAACTTGCTAAAATTGCCCTTTGAATTTTTCATTGGTTCATAGTCAGTTTTTAATTTGATTAAATTTAAATGTTTCTCAGTGCTTTTTAGTGATCTGCCTGAAACTGTATGCTTCAAGTGGTGAAGTATATATTAAATGGGTAATTTTATTGCTGTAATCTGTAATTTTGGGACATTGATGCCTTCAGTTGGTAGGTCTTGTTAAGTCAGAGGAATTAAACAAATAGGCCAAAGAATTAATTTGTTTTAATAAATTTAGTAAACCCAGCATCAATCTTTAGTCCCAGGGAAAGTTGGTTGATAAACAAGTTAGTCTATTTGCCATTTACACAGTAGCAAGTATTCCATGCATACATCACCCCAGTGAGGTAATTGCTTTCTCTGAATTGTTTGTACTTTTGCCAAAATAAATATACACGAGTTAATTAGTTGTTGCTTATGTTTGTACACCCAAAAGGGCACATTACAAGTGCATATACATATGCATGCTCAGAGTTCACAATCTCCCTAGATATGTTTGAGACTCTTAACTCTTTCACTATCGGTGCCGTATTAGTACGGCTTACGAACCAGTGTTGGTGCCATATTAATACACCAAAATTCTAGCAGCTTCAAATCTAGCAGGAGAAAGCTGGTAGACCTACATGTGAGAGAATGGGTCTGCATGGTCACTGTGCGCAGTATAAAAAAAAATCCTACAGCACGTAGTGCATAATGAGAAAAAACAAATCTGATTGCTTGTTTTTGGTTTAAAACGCTGACTTTCAGGTGCATTTTTGTACAGTATTTATGGTTGTATTTTTGTTTTCTTGGTCTCATTTGATAGAATGGAAGATATGTTACAAAAATAGAGATGATTTTGATTGGTTTCACAATGAAAGGTACCTTGAAATTGAGCTCAAATTAGCAGAGTGAAGAAGAGCAGAATGTAAGTGTGGTGGAGGTACGTGAGGCATTACGTAGAATGAAAGGGGGTAAAGCAGCTGGAACTGATGGGATCATGACAGAAATGTTAAAAGCAGGGGGGGATATAGTGTTGGAGTGGTTGGTACTTTTGTTTAATAAATGTATGAAAGAGGGGAAGGTACCTAGGGATTGGCGGAGAGCATGTATAGTCCCTTTATATAAAGGGAAAGGGGACAAAAGAGATTGTAAAAATTATAGAGGAATAAGTTTACTGAGTATACCAGGAAAAGTATACGGTAGGGTTATAATTGAAAGAATTAGAGGCAAGACAGAATGTAGAATTGCGGACGAGCAAGGAGGCTTCAGAGTGGGTAGGGGATGTGTAGATCAAGTGTTTACATTGAAACATATATGTGAACAGTATTTAGATAAAGGTAGGGAAGTTTTTATTGCATTTATGGATTTAGAAAAGGCATATGATAGAGTGGATAGAGGAGCAATGTGGCAGATGTTGCAAGTATATGGAATAGGTGGTAAGTTACTAAATGCTGTAAAGAGCTTTTATGAGGATAGTGAGGCTCAGGTTAGGGTGTGTAGAAGAGAGGGAGAATACTTCCCGGTAAAAGTAGGTCTTAGACAGGGATGTGTAATGTCACCATGGTTGTTTAATATATTTATAGATGGGGTTGTAAAAGAAGTAAATGCTAGGGTGTTCGGGAGAGGGGTGGGATTAAATTATGGGGAATCAAATTCAAAATGGGAATTGACACAGTTACTTTTTGCTGATGATACTGTGCTTATGGGAGATTCTAAAGAAAAATTACAAAGGTTAGTGGATGAGTTTGAGAATGTGTGTAAAGGTAGAAAGTTGAAAGTCAACATAGAAAAGAGTAAGGTGATGAGGGTATCAAATGATTTAGATAAAGAAAAATTGGATATCAAATTGAGGAGGAGGAGTATGGAAGAAGTGAATGTTTTCAGATACTTGGGAGTTGACGTGTCGGCGGATGGATTTATGAAGGATGAGGTTAATCATAGAATTGATGAGGGAAAAAAGGTGAGTGGTGCGTTGAGGTATATGTGGAGTCAAAAAACGTTATCTATGGAGGCAAAGAAGAGAATGTATGAAAGTATAGTAGTACCAACACTCTTATATGGATGTGAAGCTTGGGTGGTAAATGCAGCAGCGAGGAGACGGTTGGAGGCAGTGGAGATGTCCTGTCTAAGGGCAATGTGTGGTGTAAATATTATGCAGAAAATTCGGAGTGTGGAAATTAGGAGAAGGTGTGGAGTTAATAAAAGCATTAGTCAGAGGGCAGAAGAGGGGTTGTTGAGGTGGTTTGGTCATTTAGAGAGAATGGATCAAAGTAGAATGACATGGAAAGCATATAAAATCTATAGGGGAAGGAAAGAGGGGTAGGGGTCGTCCTCGGAAGGGTTGGAAAGAGGGGGTAAAGGAGGTTTTGTGGGTGAGGGGCTTGGACTTCCAGCAAGAGTGCATGAGCGTGTTAGATAGGAGTGAATGGAGACGAATGATACTTGGGACCTGACGATCTGTTGGAGTGTGAGCAGGGTAATATTTAGTGAAGGGATTCAGGGAAACCGGTTATTTTCATATAGTCGGACTTGAGTCCTGGAAATGGGAAGTACAATGCCTGCACTTTAAAGGAGGGGTTTGGGATATTGGCAGTTTGGAGGGATATGTTGTGTATCTCTATACGTATATGCTTCTAAACTGTTGTATTCTGAGCACCTCTGCAAAAGCAGTGATAATGTGTGAGTGTGGTGAAAGTGTTGAATGATGATGAAAGTATTTTCTTTTTGGGGATTTTCTTTCTTTTTTTTTTGGGTCACCCTGCCTCGGTGGGAGACGGCCGACTTGTTGAAAAAAAAAAAAAAAAAAAATTTGATTTTTGCTGATAATCAAGAGTAAACAGATGTCACCATCCAATACATGTACAACTGGCCAGTCTAATACGCAATCATGAATAGGTTGACATTATTTATACAATTATTGCAGTAATGGAGTAGTCTGCATAACAGTATATCTTCTATTTTTTTGTGTGAATAAAAATTCGAAATGGAAAGCAAGAGTAATATAAGAGGAACCTGGAGACATGACTAATGAACAGAGAAAGTTATTTTAATGCCAGGAATGTCTGCATTGTTTATTCTGGACCTTATTTTGATATTGGCATCTTTTCAAATTTGTGTGAAATTGGCCAAATTCCAATCTCTGACCATTTTTATGGGTAGTTGAAATCAAGAATTGGCTTTTTTCTTGTACTTAAATCGGGGAACAAATGAAGTTCTAGTAATGTACTACAAGTTTGGTAGATTGGAACAGGGGAAATTTGGCCGAAAAAAAAAACCCCAAATTGGGCGAAAATCGTGATGTGTACGGTCGCGGACCGCTTACTTCGCGGAGCTTTAATCTGAAATTTTTTCCATCAAATTTCATACTTTTGGTGTCTTTACCATCAGGAAAAGTTGTCATTTCTAAGTTTTTTTTTTTTTTTTTTTTTTTTTCAAATTTTTTCGACGCAGAAGGATTTTAGAACGGGGGTCCCGACATTTGAAGGGTTAAAAATTTTGCTGTATTTGGTTTATCTACTTGTAGTTAGGGTGGTTTCATGAAATTTCCCATAATGTGTTCTGAGTTATACATGACTAAGGTCCTTATTTTTTTTAAATGTGTATTGTTTAAAAAGGGTAAAAGAGTATGGTACAGTAAAGTGAGATTGAATTTATCCCTTATCATTGTCATGGAATTTAAAAAATTTCTCAAATTTTTTTTAAAGGGGTAAGTTTTTCTTAAACTGCTCTTAAAGCCAGAAAATTTTTAATGAAATTTTTATACTGAAAATGTCCTGTGTTAAAGATGAATTTTGAGTTAAGAAATTGTAAAAGTAAAATTTTTGTAAAGGGCTTTTTGTCGATGCTTTTTTTATTATTAGTTTTGGGTTTTTTAATTGTTTTTTGGTAAAAATAATCAAGCTTTGAACGAAAATTTTGGTATTTTCATTTGAAAATGTTGTGCACATAATTGTAATTTGGGATAACTCTTAATGTTACTTAACCCCCCCCACCTTTTACAGGAATGTCCTCCTCCCCCTTGATTAAACAGTCTTAAGCAACCCCTCCCAAGAAAAAGAGCTAAACGTCATCCATTCATCAAAATAAAAGAAGAGGGTTTGTATTCCATGGTAAGAGGGGGACAAAGAGCTCTCGCATTTTTTGGAGAATCTATGCCAAAGCAGGAGAATCATGTAGTTGTTTTATTTTTTTAAGAGCTTGTTTATTATTTCTTCAAAAATTTGGGGTTTGGGTTTTTAAAAGTGTTCGTGTTTTCTACCCGATATAGTACCTGTTGTACATTTTTTCTGAGTTCATCGGGGGAAAGGTACATGGTTGTTTTCGACATCCTAACTTGTGTGCCCATTTTAAAGTACAGTTTTTTTTTTTATAATGTTATACAGGGGACCCTCAGTTAACGATCCCATGGGATACGATAAAATCGGATCCGATACTTTTTGCTCAAAAATTGGTCGGCTGGGGATAAAAATAGTTAAGGACAATCTCCAAATGTGTCGCGCAGCCTGAGCTGCCCCCCCCGGCCACTCCATGGGGCCCGGGCCTTTTTACAAAGCCTTTGGACTTTCCATGCGTTTTCATGTGTACTTTTTTTATTATTCCATTATTTTTTTTGCTTGTAATTCTAAATAGCATTACAAGCTCAAAAAAAGCTTCCTGCCAGCCCTGTGTAAAGAGGGTAAAAAATATTATGGAATTTAAAAAAAGGATCATCGCAGAATCGAAAAATGGAGTGGTCTCTTGAGTTGGCCAGGTTATATAACCAAAACCCTATTCAACCATCATATCCTTGCCCAAGGGGGAAAAGCGGTCAAGGAAGCTGTTGTTGCGAATGGTCCCAAAAAGGCTTCAAAACAAAGATCGCAAATACTACCAAAAAGTGGGGAGACTGATGTTGGTGTGGGGTTAAAAAGAAACAATTTTCTGAGAAAAAAATTAACCCCAGAGGGTTTTGCCACCCCGGATAACCCAAGAAAGACAGTGCTCATCAAGGACTGTCTAACTATTTTCCCTTGGGGGGCCCAATCTTGCCACGGATGCGACCCTTTCCATGACTAAAACCCGGTTAACAGGAAAAAAAATGCCTGGAACTAGTGCTCAGGTTGGTTTGAGAGATTTAAGTATCGTAATGGCATACACAATGTGATAAGGCATGGCGAAGCTGAAAAATTCCAACCCCAACAAGTGTTCAGTTGTGACGAAGCAGGCCTGTTCTGGAAGAAAATGCCAAACAGGACCTGCATTACTCAGGAGGAAAAGGCACACCCAGGACACAAGCCTATGAAAGACAGGCTAATTCTCATGTTTTGTTGTAATGCTAGTGGGGGTTACAAAGTGAAGTCTTTACTCGTGTATCACTTTGAAATTCCAGAGTGTTCAAGAAAAAGTGTCATCACTCATCACTACTCTTCAATAAGGGCAAGTGTCATTTTCGTATTTATTTATGTATTTATCCTGCATGTCTCATTGTTTTCTGTGTAGGGAAATGTATATTTCATGTAAATAAAATTATTTTGTTTTAATGCTTTTGGGTGTCTGGAACGGATTAATTGGATTTCTATTGTTTCTTATGGGGAAAATTAATTCGGATAACAATAAAATCGGTTAAGGACAAGCTCTCTGGAACGGATTAATATCGTTAACCGAGGGTCTACTTCATGTGGTATATTTCCTGAATCTCTAAGTTACTTTGCTCACACCCCAACCCACTCTTCTCCATTCATTCATGTTTTTGTTCATTTTACTTTTTTATACAGTGACTAATTTTTCCAGTTATAGACCTGGACATTTCCAAAGCATTTTCCTTATACAGTGGACCCCCGATTAACGATATTTTTTCATTCCAGAAGTATGTTCAGGTGCCAGTACTGACCGAATTTGTTCCCATAAGGAAAATTGTGAAGTAGATTAGTCCATTTCAGACCCCCAAATATACACGTACAAACGCACTTATATAAATACACTTACATAATTGGTCACATTAGGAGGTGATCGTTAAGCGGGGGTCCACCGTACTATGTTTATTTTTACCAACATCACTTCTTGCCTTCTATATCCTCCCTACATGAGTTATTGCCAAGCTTATCAAAGATATGTTGGCCATTTGGCTTGCTTCCTGTTAGTTTTGGACTTCCTTGCTTAATGGTATACACTTACAAATTAGATTCCCACTTTTCAAATAGACGTTGCCTCAACTTATATTCTCAGTTAACCCATAAATCAGAGGTGACAACTGGACATTTAGGTTTGTCCTGGACTATTGTCAAGTTTTTGTTCTCTAATTTGCATTTATGAGCTGTTTCATTCGTGGTAAGTTTTACTCTCCTCATCCTGTTCTTAAACTCATTCTCTTCACTTTTCTTATCCATCAGTTTTTATATAAAGCATTCCAAAATTGTTTTCTTGTGATGCATTCCATTTTGAGCATTTTATAAAAATTAGCCCACATTACCTCTTCACCTGTTAAGATTACTACCAAGTTTCATTTTTCATTTGTACTTGCCTATATACCCATCTGTATGTGAGTTCAGGAAACAAGTCTTAGCTCCTGGCCCCACCCCTTAACCCTTTCAGGGTCCAGAGGCCAAATTTCAAAGTGCGCACCATGGTCCAAGAATTTAAAAAAAAATTTTTTCTTTTTTCTTATGAAATGGTAGAGAATCTTTTTCTGAAGGTAATAAAACAAAAGGTACGAAATTTGATGGAAAATTGACAAAATTATGCTCTTGCGAATTTTGATGTGTCAGCGATATTTACGAATCGGCGATTTTGCCGACTTTGACTCCCATTTTAGGCTAATTACATTATTCCAGTTGACCAAATTCTTAGCTATTTCACTAGTATTACTTCTATTCTATCGATTGAGCACAAATCGCCAAGTCAACTGTTTCAAATACAAAATAAAGTGATTGGAAATTGGTAATTTGTCCAATTTAATTTTTTTTTTTTTTCAACAAGTCAGTCGGTCTCCCACCGAGGCAGGGTGACCCAAAAAAAAAGAAAGAAAATCCCCAAAAAGAAAATACTTTCATCATCATTCAACACTTTCACCACACTCACACATTATCACTGCTTTTGCAGAGGTGCTCAGAATACAACAGTTCAGAAGCATATACGTATAGAGATACACAACATATCCCTCCAAACTGCCAATATCCCAAACCCCTCCTTTAAAGTGCAGGCATTGTACTTCCCATTTCCAGGACTCAAGTCCGACTATATGAAAATAACCGGTTTCCCTGAATCCCTTCACTAAATATTACCCTGCTCACACTCCAACAGATCGTCAGGTTACAAGTATCATTCGTCTCCATTCACTCCTATCTAACACGCTCATGCACGCTTGCTGGAAGTCCAAGCCCCTCACCCACAAAACCTCCTTTACCCCCTCTTTCCAACCCTTTCGAGGACGACCCCTACCCCTCTTTCCTTCCCCTATAGATTTATATGCTTTCCATGTCATTCTACTTTGATCCATTCTCTCTAAATGACCAAACCACCTCAACAACCCCTCTTCTGCCCTCTGACTAATTTAATACAAAGTTCAAAATATTCCAATTTCAAAATAGGGTCCAGAATAAACAATGTAGGTATTCCTACATTGTTTATTCCTACATTCCTACATTTCCTCTGTTCATTAGTTACGTTTTGAGGCTTTACAAAATGAATTCCATTTTGATTTTTTATTTTTTATTTACTGTTATGCAATATTGTAATAATTGTATAAATATCATCACCACATTTGTGAATGTATATTAGACCCACCAACTGGCGTGTATTAGACGTGTGAGGTTGTTTACTCTTGAACATCGGCAAAAATTTAACATTTCCGCTACTTTGAGCTCAGTTTCAAGCCATTTCCAGTGCTAAAACCAATCAAAATCATCTCTATTCTGTAATACATCTTCCATTCTATCAAATGAAACCAAGAAATCGCAAATACAACTATAAAAACTTGCGAAAAACACTGCAAAGTTGCTGTTTTAATCGAAAATCACGGTCTTTTTTTTTTTCTCTCATTATACACTGTGTGCTGCAGGATTTGTTTTATGTGGTGCACACATACCACATAGATGTATTCTCTCATATCTAGGTCCAAATTTACCACTCACAGTTTATCAGAGTGAGCTGAGCTCATGGCATAGATCTACGGTTTGGACCCTGAACATAAAGACGTAGATCTACAGCACAGACCCTTAACCCTTTGAGGGTCGACAGGCCCTCTCCGAAACTCGTTCTCAGGGTCGGCCAAATTTAAAAAAAAAAAAATTATTTTCTCTTATGAAAAGATAGAGAATCTTTTCCCGATCATAAAGACACCAAAAGTTTGAAATTTGATAGAAAACTTAAGGAATTATGCTCTCGCAAAGTTAGCGGTCTCGGCGATGTTTACGCATCGGCGATTTTGCCCACTTTGAGCCCCATTTTCGGCCAATTTCACTGTACTAGTCGACAAAAAACATGAATATTTCGCTAGAACTCCATTTTTTCTATCGAATGGGTGCAAGAAACCACCCATTTATAAATTCAACTATCCAGTACAGTGGTCAGAATTTAGCAATTTTGCCAATTTCACACAAATTTCAAAAGATGCCAATTTCCGAATAGGGTCCAGAATAAACAAGAAAGACATTCCTGGCACTAAAATGACATTTCCTCTAGTCATTAGTCACGTCTCAAGGGCCCTCTTATATTCTTTTGCTTTCCACTTTGAATTTTTATTCTCACAAAAAATATAAGATTTACTGTTATGCAGACTACTGCATTAGTGTAAAAAATGGTATAAATATTATTGGTGCACTTGTAAAAGAATATTAGACTCACCAGTTGACGTGTATTGCACGCTTGGCACGATTTGTTTACTTTTGAAGTTTGGTAAAAATCGAACATTTCTGCTACTTTGAGCTCAATTTCAAGGCACCTTTCATTGTAAAACCAGTCAAAATCATCTCAATTTCTGTAATATGTCTTCCATTCTATAAAATGAGACCAAGAAAACTAGAATACAACAATAAATACCATACGAAAATACACTGCAAAGTCGCTGATTTATTAAAAAAAAATGGTCAAAGTTTTTTTTTTCTCATTATGCACTGTGTGCTGCAGGATTTTTTTTAGACTGTGCACACTGACCACATAGACCCATTCTTTCATATGAAGGCCTACCAGCTTTCTCCCACTAGATTTGAGGCCGCTAGAATTTATGAGTACTAGTACGTCAAAAACCCCTACGCGTAAAACGTACTAGTACGACCAAAACCCTCAAAGGGTTAAAGGGTTAACCTGCTGTTTGCGAGATTCTCTCCTACCTTCATGGGCCCTGTTGTATCTGTTCTTCAGCTATGTCAACCATCGCTTTATTATTGTCTTCTCATTCTTGCTTTCGTTTTGTATTATGTGGCTGGTTGAATACCACTTTGGGTTTCTCAGTATTAACTGAACTCACTATGAAGTTGTGCACCTCTTTTCTGTATCCTTCTCACCTCTTCAAAATTCATTGGATTTCTGATTAGAAGTGCCACTCCTCTGGCTCCCCTTTTTCCTCTGGAAAGAGGGATGGGTGAGCAATTGGTGTTAATGTTGCTGATGAAAGGGGAAGGGGGTGGCCCAGAATTGGACCAGCTTAGAGAGAGGTTACATCTGGAGAAATTACGTGAGCTTGATGCTACCCTCTCTCGGCTCTTCATTTGCTGTTCCCCATGTCTGACAGGTCTTCACATACACCCTCCGTTGTTCTCAGTTGCTATCCTGTTCCAGTTCAGATACGCTATTGTATTGTCATGTGGTCTTCAGTCGATGTTTTTGTTGTAATATCCTGTCCCGAGCTGTGTGGTGCTAGAAAATTAATTTGATTGGGCACTGCTTGCTTGCCTTGGGAGAGTCTTCTAATCCTCTGCAAATTTGCCACCTGTGCAATTTCTTCCTGTCCTCCAGTGCACTTGATTGATGTAACCTTGTATCTCGTCTTCCTATCTACTTCCTGGATCTCCTCCATCTTCATGAAGTTATAGATCATCAATGACTCCCTCCCTCTTCCATTCTCTCTAGATATCTTTGGGGTGATTTATTTTCTAGAGAGGGATGGGCATTTAATATAATTTTATGCTTTCTTTTCAATATAAGACATTTTATAAACTGTTTTGCTCTTGTTGTAATATGAATTAATGAGACTACTGTTTTTATGTTTTGCTAGTTTATTGTGCATGTATTGGTGTTGCATGCTAATATTATAGAAATTGATTTTGTATTAGATTGTGCTGAATATTTTTGCATTTACAATTGGGACACTTGTCATGGTAATTATTTCTCTAATTTTGTTCAGAGTAAGACAAATACATGTTTCTCTGCCCTGCTTTTTAAGTACATTAAGTATATGCATGTCATCTGCATTCAGCCATTTGTTTTAAAATAATTTATTGGATTTGTTCAGTAACTTGTAAATAAATTTTCATAATTCTTTAATTGCTGGAGATTGTAGAACGAGTTTTATTTTCAGTACAGTGGTTGTTTGAGTTACAATATTAATCTGTTCCAGAAGACGTACCTGTCCATCCCTCCCTACTGCCCAGGCTAGTACTTTGACACACATTATTAGAATTATGCTGTGGCCTGGTGCTACTGATTTGTTCTTTGATGCTAAACATATCTTCAACAAACTTTGTTTCATCCTGCTTTTCACTTATTCTATTATTTTTTTTTTATTGGGTGGGTTGTCTGTAAGGGATTTTATCCTGGAGTTTTTTTCCCTAGTAAAGTGGGGAAGGTTTGCCCTATTAGGGTTTAAGCCATTCCCAGAAAGCAGTACCTATTCTGTGAGTATACACGAATTGGTTACTATACTATGGGTGTTAAAAAGTTGATGCTAAAAGAGTTCTGGCCATACAGCAGCTGGTTGGCAAGGGCCAGTAACCCTTGATAACCCAGTAAAAAAAATTAGAAATGATTTGTAATGGGCTAATGTAGTGTTTGTGATTAGTTCTTAATATAATTTTTTTTTTTTTAACACTGGTCGTTTCCCATCAAGGCAGGGTGACCCAAAAAGAAAGAAAAACCCAAAAAGAAAGAAAAACCCAAAAAGAAAGAAAAATACTTTAATCATCATTCAACACTTTCACCATCACTCATACATAATCACTGTCATGCAGAGGCGCTCAGATACAACAGTTTAGAAGTCCCTCCAAACTGCCAATATCCCAGACCCCTCCTTTAAAGTTCAGGCATTGTACTTTCCATTTCCAAGACTCAAGTCCGGCTATATAAAAATAACCAGTTTCCCTGAATCCCTTCACAAAATATTACCCTGCTCACACTCCAACAGCTCGTCAGGCCCCAAAAACGAGTAGTCTGCATTAACTCCTATCTAACGTGCTCACTCATGCTTGCTGGAAGTCCAAGCCCCTCGCCCACAAAACCTTTACCCTCTCCTTCCAACCTTTTTGAGGACGACCCCTACCCTGCCTTCCTTCCCCTACAGATTTATGCGCTCTCCCCTCTTCAAGGGGGGCTCCTTGGTGTGGTGAAGAGGCTCTTGGTCTGAGGAATTAGACCTGTCTGTCTACTTCCTCAGACCGAACCTAATTACCCCCCAATCCCCCGTTCCCTATCCCATCCTCCCCACCCTCCCCTTTTTCCTTTCCTCCTCCTCCTCCCCACCCCTCCCTTTTGCCCCTCCTTTGTGGCCTTTGGTTTCCCCCCCCCACAGGCACGCTAGTTCCTAGGTAGGGGAAAGGGTACCGGGGTCCATCCCATTCCGTTGAGGTTCTTGGCGGTGGCGTAGTTTGCCGTGGAATCTGGATTACCTGGGGATGTCCTGATCCCTCTCCGGTATCCCGGAGGGTGGCTTTGGGTGTCTCTCGGGCGACGGGTGTATCTCTGGAAGCCACCTTTCGGATTCCGGGGGTGGTGGCCGAAGGAAGTATGCTTTGTGGCGGATTTCCGGCAGCCCTGTCTTTTGTCCACCGAGGTAGCTCGGCAGATGTGAGGTTGCTATCCCGGATTGCCGGTTTACTGGCATGATGGGTAGGGTATGGCACGGGTTCCATGCTGCATCTGCGCTACTTGCGGTGCTGAGGTCCTCTTGGGCGCGGAGGGAGATTTCTGGCCCTTTCATTCCTCCTAGGAACTATCCCTCCCCAGTCCCCTCTTTTTTTATTCTTTTTTTTATTTTTATTTTCTTTTCTTTCTTTTTTTTTTCTTAAAAACAAAAAGAAAGAAGTAACCTAACCATGGCAGCCCTAGTCCATGAACCTGCTACCCCCGGGCCCCTTCTTGATACCGCACCCCGTTCTGACCCCGCCTCGTCTTTGGACCACTCTTCGGACACTCCTCATGCCTCTGTACCTCTTCCGGTGCTGTTTTCTCACCCGCTTAAGGTACTGAGGCCTCGACTGACTCCTTCGATTTATCTGACCTTCGCTCTCCTCTGACTATGCTTCCGGCCTCTCCCTCTACGGTGCGGCAATTTTCGAATCGCCTGCCCGTTCCACATCGGACCAACTCTGGTCCCACGCCTAAACGCCAACGACAATTACCTGCTGATGATACTTCTCCACCTTCTCGTTCTTCTCAGAAAAGATCGACACGTCCTTCACTACCTTTCCACGCTCAGTTTCAGACTGCACAATGGACTAAATTCTTCACTTTACGACCGACTCCTCTACTGCCTATCTTTCTGACCACAGTATTGGCAAGGCACTCCTACGCCATGTTGGTAAAGATATTTCTTTTCATGCTCTTAAGAGCGGTACGCGCATTGTCACCGTACAGAATGCTACCCAGGCTCATGAGCTTTCTCGTCTTTCCCATATCGATACTGTTCCTGTAACTATTGAAAAGCATCATTCCCTCAATTCTTGTAGTGGTACCGTCATTCTGCCCCATACCATAGTTCAACAAAATTTCCAGACATGTGGCACTGACATTCTTGAACAGCTGGAACTCCAAGATCTCCCAATCCTCAAGGTAGACACTTACGTTCTTCCTGCCCGCGGGCGGAGACGATACCCTAGCAATGTGGCTCGTTTAACTTTTGACAGCCGTGAACTCCCATCCTCAGTTTATGTAGCAGGACATCGGTTACAAGTTCGAAAGGTGATCTCTACACCGCAACAGTGTAGAAATTGCTGGCGATTTGGCCATCCAGCGAAATATTGCAGATCTATCGCCGAATGCCCAGTCTGTGGTACCGATGACCATTCTAATACGTCTTGCAATCGACCTCCCTCTTGCCTTAATTGTCATGAGGCTCACCCTTCGTACTCTCACCGTTGTCAAGTCTACTTAAACGAGCGGGAAATCCGTTACCTCAGAGGCAGAAGGTCTCCCTTATGCCATGGCAGTTTCTCATCTCTGCCTCCAAGGGAGACTACCTCGTGTTTCTTATTCCCGTGTTTCAAAACTTCCCCCCACCTCTGGTATCCCATCTTCTGCACCCACCTCTGTGGTTACCTCTCCCATAGTCACTCCTGTAGCTAATTCTTTTGCTGTCCTTGGCTCAGACGTCCCTACTTCAACGTCTCAGTCTGATCTCGCTTCTTCGTGTTCTCTCTCACAAGCCTCAGTAGCGACGAGATCTCGTATGACACCTCCTCCCAATCGTCCCTCTACTTCTCAAAAGTCAAAAAAAGGTCCGTTAACACCTCCTACCCACCTTCCACCTCTTCATTTTCCCTTCCCTGTCTCTGTACCTGGTTCTCCCCCTCTCACTGGCTCTGTTACAAGTGTAGAGGTTCACCCTGCTCCTCGTACTGTACCTTCCTCCCCTGTTCCCTCCCAAGTTTCTTCCTCTTCTGCCACCTCCCAGGTTTCTGCCTCTTCTGTCCCCTTCCACGCTTCTCCAGTTCCCTCCACCCTTTTGCCCCCCCCCCCTACCTTGGTACAGTCCATTACAGTTCCAATCTTTACTCATCCTCCCCCTACCATTTCCAATATTGTCTCCATACGACGTCTCTGAATTCTGAAACACTTGAAGCAATCTCTGAATATATTGCAGAGACCAAACCATCAATGGACACTGATCCACCCTCCGCTCCTTCTCTCTCCTCTACTCCATCTGCGCAACTCCTTTCTTCACAGCGCACCGTTCCTTCTCTGCTTGAACGTTTTCCACTGCCTCCGCATGTGGACTTTTCTAACCCCTCTAGTCCGTAGGAACCCTTACCTGCGGATTTCAGGTATCTTCATCATTGCCAATCATGGCCTATTTACAGTGGAATATACGCGGCCTCAGGGGTAATCGGGGTGAGCTTCAGATGTTTCTCTCCCAGTTTTCCCCTGTTGGTGTTTGCTTACAGGAACCAAAATTACACTCTGCTGTTATCTCTCCCATCTCAGGCTATAATTTATTGTATTCTTCAGATCCTTTTCCTGATGGGACCTTTAATGAAAGTGCCCTTCTTCTACGCACTGATATTCCGTAAGATCAGCTATTTGTTTGTACTTCGCTGCATTACACAGCAGCCCGTATCCACTTGCATAGGTGGTATACGCTCTGTTCTTTATATCTCTCTCCTTCTCGGGCATTATCTATTCCGGATATTGCCTTTCTTGTTTCGTCATTACCACCACCGATTCTGTTACTTGGTGATTTTAATGCCCACCATTTCCTCTGGGGGGGGTCTCACTGTGATTCCCGTGGCATTCAGTTAGAGGTTTTTCTTGCCACCCACCCCCTCCATGTTTTAAATACAGGTACTCACACCCATTTTGATCCTCGGACTCTCACACACTCTTGCATCGATCTCTCAGTCTGCTCTTCCTCCGCCACATTAGACTTCACTTGGTCTGTTCTTCCGGACTTACATGACAGCGATCATTTCCCAATCATTCTTACTTCCCCTTTATATTCACCACCTCTTCGCATCCCATGCTGGCAATTTTTATCAGGCAAATTGGAACCTTTACTCACACCTAACTGTTTTTAGAGAGGTTCCTTCTTCGTCCTCCATCGATGAGCTTTTACACCTCTTCTCGTCCTCTGTTTTAACCGCAGCTTCTCATTCTATACCCCAAACTTCGGGCAGGCATTCTCAGAAATGCGTGCCTTTGTGGTCTCCTGCTTGTGCTCTTGCAGTACGTTTGAAACGCGCTGCATGGGGCAGGTACCGGTACAATAGAACCACAGAGAGACTTCTTGATTTTAAGCAGAAGCGTGCGATCGCTCGCCGTGTCATCCGTGACGCTAAACGCACTTGCTGGTGAGATTGTCTCCACCATCACCTCTGCTTCCTCTATGAGTGCAGTCTGGAAAAAAGTACGAAAACTGAGTGGTAAATATTCTCCTGACCCGGCTCCTGTTCTGCGGGTTGCCGGTGTTGATATAGCAAACCCACTAGATGTTGCCAATGAAATTGGCAATCATCTGGTCCGTATTTCTCAGGGACTCCATCTATGCCCCTCATTTCTTTCCTCAAAGTCTGCCAGAGAGTTAGCACCCTTGGACTTTTCTTCTCTCAGAGAAGAACAGTATAATGTGCCTTTTACACTTCAAGAACTGGAGGCAACACTCTCAGCTTGCCGATCATCGGCAGCTGGGCCCGACGACATTCATATTCGTATGCTACAACATTTA